GATTGTATTTTAGATTTTAGAACATGTATAACTTTTTAGGAAGAATACGGTTTTTGGTTTTTTCCTAAAATTAATAATAAAAAACTTTGGTATTGGTACGGTATTTGTGATAGAAACAAATAATTATTATGACCGTATATAAATATTATATTGGGGGCAAAATGTGTGGGGGCGAAATGTGTTGGGGGCGAAATGTCTTGGGGCGAAATGTGCAGGGGCTAAATGTGCAGGGGCGAAATGTGGGGGGCGAAATGTGTGGGGCGAAATGTGGGGGGCGAATGTTCCGCAAATCGTGAAAACTAACTGAATTTATACCAGCAGTATTACTTCCAAACTTGAAGGTGAAGAAATGTACGGAGCGTCGAGATAGAGTACGGAGGGTTAAATAAACATTAAAAACATAAACAAAACACTCAAGATACGGTGATCTTAGGTTAGGTATCGAATTATTCTCTTTTAATAGGAGAGGTATTGAATTTAATAGTGAATCAAAAATTTTAAAGATACATTGGCCCAAATGGAATTATAATAATCTAAAGCACCATTAATTAATATTATGATTTTTTTTTTGTTATATCTCACAGATAACTGTATTTTGTTTTGATGGTAGATATGTATTTTATTTTTATTATAAACACCTACAGCACTGGCCCATACCTAGGGATTTTTACTATTATTTTCACCAACCCTGTCATGACGATTTGATCACGTGGGTTTCGGGTATTGTTGAAGACCTGGTACTTGTACTGTTACGAACTATCCTTAAGTGCTATTTTTTAAAAATATATTTAACAAATTAACACTATCAAATCAAACAGAACAGTCAGATATGTACGAAATAGCACATTTGTGCTTGTCAATGGAACGTAACAAGAAACATAGCTGAGACAATAAGCGACAATTTTGGTTCGACTTATTTTCTACAAAATAATGTTTCGTGAATATAAAATTACCAACTATCTAGATGAATATTCACAATTTCCGCCAAATATATGGGCCGAAATTAAAGAGTCTACTATTTGTAGTCTCTTCAGCACCGAAGAAACCACCCTTTCGGCACGCCTATGTCCGATTTCTGTCAGGACGTTAATTACTGATACATTTACGGGCTCCTAAAAGGCATTTACAGTGAATCGAACCTGATTATATTTCATTTGAGTGTATGCCAACGTTAATTTGAAGCTATTTCCCATGAGGTGGGGTTGGGGGAAATTGGGATCATCAGAGACGCGACTGGGGTCAATTGAAATTTCAAACTATTCGGTTTGCCGAATATTGAAATGTATATCGCCCTACAATTGAGAACTAGATGAATTTATCGGCTGTTTGGGTATAATTTAGAATGTCAGTTTGAAATACGAGTATTGTGGTACGAGGGATGTGCCGAAATTTACTACATAACCACCATGCCAAAAGAGGTGATTCACAAATTCTTGCAATTGCATAATTGGAGTTGCCTGTGAAATTTTAATGGTTTGGAGTGGTACTTTAGTTACCTCCAGTGAATGACATTTATTGACATCTGCTTTGTAAACAAAGTGTATTACCCAGAAATAATTTTTCCACAAAAAGAATGGATTTAATATCGAAATTGTAATCAAAATTTACATACATACTACATAAATTGTTGAAAATTACACAAATTAACTCTTTTTCGCAATCCAACAAAAACATTATGCGTTGTTGATCTCTTTACACTTTACTGTTATGCAATTTCTCAGTTCTTCCAGATTATGAATTGACATGCAAAAAATCGCATATGTTTAAATTGCAAGACCTAGTTGGATATGGCAATTTAATGTTCTTATTATTCTGCGATATACAGGGTGTTTCAAAAAGGTATGTCATAAATTCTTCCACAGATAGATTACCAAAAAATAACTGGATTTGGCTATATTTACCTATATCAAAAACTGGCCCTAATAAACTAACATTCAAAAAAACGATTTTTTTTTTTTGTAAAAAGTTTGCTGTTGCGAATTTTTTTTTGAAATTTTTGCCAGTGCTGTAGATTTGAAGGCCCAATATTCCAAGGGGAACAAAAAATTAAAACGACCCCTTTATATAATTAGGTTGTGTTTGTACTTACTTATGATATTTTGAAGAAGCATTTTCAACAGGTCTTTCACTCATAAAGCATGTTTTCACCATATTGTTAAAAATAATTAAGATTAAATATACATTTACAACCCTTACAACGCTATAAATAATTATATTTTTCGTAAAATACAAATCAAAAATTGACATGTGTCAGAAAGTGTCAGAACTGGCGCTGTCAAACTTGGAAACGCTAATTAAATAAGCTAATTACAGAAGAGGGATTTCACCCATCGGGGGGAGTATATGTTGATTACAAAATTTAGCACATGGAAGAGGGGAAGACTCTCTCTAGTAGTAATGTCTCGGACTATTTTCACGTTATGAGGTTATGGACAAACTCCGGTCTTGGTTAATTATTATTTGATGGTTAGAGTGATGTTCTGCAAAGCATAGCTTCGTATAACGACTGATGTCTCTCGATATTTTCTGTCGGTGAAATCCTGTCCCACGGACTATCCTTTAAAAAACTTTGATTAGTTTACTGTTCACCCTATATCCCACACAGTTTCATTTACGATAGAATATGTTTTCGCTAACAATTAACGTCATCCCAAATGTATTTTGACGCCAACGATTTAGGGTAGTTTTAAATAGAACCAGCCCTTTGTGGCAGCGTACACCAAAAAGGACAGCTCGGTCATCGGTTGTTGAGAGACGCGACATATTGAACCAAAATTAAAGGAAATTAAGCACACACGTAGCAGAAAAGATTCCATGGGATTTATTCAAATACTTTCCTGCTTAAAATTATCGTAAAATGTTGATAAATACTATGATTGTAAAATTGGAAATTGAAATGATGATTTGATGGTATGTGCAACTATAAAGAGTTTTAACTCTCCAAAGACTAAATTTAATTAGGGTGAGATTTAAAATCCGTTATAGCCATTTATTTTTTATCTTTTAGAGGTCTGCTTTTCTTATCTAAAACGCCACATCTTTATAAAATACCAGAAATTAACTTTTCATATCATTGTGGTCGGAATATCAACCTCTACTATATTTTCATATTAAAAATGCCGCAACGCAAGCCAAAACTTATAATACTATAAACTTATTACTTGTATTGTGTGTATTCAAAAAATCACAAGTCCCCAGTAGTAAGGTCCCAACGGCTTGAGTGGGTGACCAAATTTGTACAGCTTGGAATCTATTCGGACGTAGAATAAATGGAGAAGTACATAAGCTAAACATAGTAGAGCATCCAAATAGTGGCACAATAATCCATCTGCTTCATTGTCGCCATGCCATCTCCAAGGGAAGAGAAAGCTGGCTGGACTAAGCCTGATTGAGGGGAGCCCCGGACCCAAGCGTGATGGCGGGGAACTGCCAGAACTCCTCAGAGAAGAGCAAAGGGATTCCTGAACGGCTAAAGAAAGACATTGAATTTTAATTAGGTACCTCAATGTAGACCAAACCAAGAATAGACATAAGGGAGTGAAACAGAAAGAAAATATTTTTTATTTTATTTTTGAAACGTAATAGTGCGGAAAGTTGCAAAATGTAAGAATGATTAACGGGCTATTTTCATTTTATTTTTAAAATGTCTTCTTCAGGGCTCTACACCTACTTGAAATTTCCTATTTTCCTGAATAATTTAATAATGCAGAGTAATAAATGAAATAGTATCACTTTTGCAAATATTTTAATTAAAATGAAAATTAACAATTTAAAATGTTTTATTTATAAACGAAAGCTAATACAACTTAACAATAAAACATAGGTAAAACAGGTATATGAAATTCATGCATTGTATTCCGTCTTAGTGTTAAATCGAGGTAATATGGTTCTAGAATGAATCCTTGCACGAATAAATCCATCTCTAGAATCATGGCCGACAACAGAATTGAAAGCTTTTGTTACAAACTTCACGCACCTCTCTAATGCCTGTGTATGGCAGGGAAAGGACAAAAAATCTAAAGGACAAGTTCCTGTATCGTTTATAAATTCTCTGATATCTCCATCAGTTGCAGTACTTAAAAGAGGTGGTGCTGCAACTGAGCAATTTTGCCAATCAAGAGTCTGTAGATATTTTTGTGCATGCCTTCAATATTCTTCGTAAGCCAAGTTTTCTTTTAGCAGGACGATCATCAGAAAGCATTGCTAGAAGAAGGTTCTCCAGACGACAAAAATACGCATTTTGTTTGACAACAGGATCGATGACTGCCTTCAATTCGTTGTTCAAGTAGCGTGACAACTAGATCATTTTGAAGATGTGTCTTCCTCCATCACTACAAGATGGTTTTCTTTTAATGTCAAACCACACTGGCGCATAAACTTTTACCACAAATTCAGCGATTGTTCTTAAATTTGTAGACAGACATTTACTTCCGATGTAAAGACGCAATATACCATTTGCCTTTGTAAGCTATCGTGCGTGTGATAATTTACCTGGATTACGAGCTGCTAGATCTAATGAACAGTTTCCTCTAGAAATTAAGTGACAGATGTCATATAAGTACTTTTGATCAGTGCTAAGATTCCTAATAGTGCAGCGTCTAATTCTGGTAAAGGGCTAACAATAGGCACACAATTTACAACGGACAATTTTTCCTATAGCTCCAGAGTATACACGAGGTCCTGAAGTTTCTCCGTCAAGATATTGAAAAATATGAGGAAGAGGCATATAACATATCATCCACTGCAGAGGACGTTTCAGTTTTGTTTCTAAATGACGCAAAAATCCATTCTTCCTTTCTGTATTAACCGCTGTAACATCACAGTCTACTACTAGAAGCTTATTTGTACTGATATCAAATTCTTGTAGAAAATTAACTATAGATATGGCAATATGTTTCCCCATACCTGTTGTTGGTGTAATGTGACCCATATATTTTGAACCTGGTTCTACGAGCAATGATATATGTTCTTCGATTTTTATTTTGCGATGAAATTTGTTTCTAAATTCTTTCCTGGCACATCGTTTTATCCTTTCTTCCATCGAAGTATAATGCTCTAATCTCTGGAGTGGATATTTGGAATTCGCTTTTTAAATCAAAACGGTATTTTTGATGAGGTCTTCGCACCTTACTTTGGTCAATAACTGACGATGTTTTTTTCGAATTAAGTCGCAAATACTCTAATACAGCAGATGCAAGCGCTGCTGCAGAACGGTCCAAAATGCCAAATTGGTCAGAAATACGAGCTAGGTTGGGAATAGGCAATCTCATTTGCTGGCTTCTACTGCCACCTGATGTTGATGGAAGCTCCGACTTAGCTTCTTGTTTTTCTGTCAAATTCTCAACTTCTAATGACATCTCAGATTCAGATAAATAAAAAATACTGTCTCACTTAAAGTTTTCAATGTTGTCATTATCTACTTTAAACTTAAAAGGAAACTGATTTGCCTACGCCTTGATATTCTTTGGCTTTTAATTTATTTGTTTAAGTAACGTCTATTTTTCCAATAACAAATTTTCTCACAGTTTGTTGATCGTGCATAAATTCTCACTCAATATTTAGTATTTTGCGTTTTTTAACACAGCCACATGTATCAAAAGAAGCACATTAACATGCAGAAATATCGAATAATTTCTTTGAATAGTCTTTATATTTCTCAACTTTTAAGTTATAATTATCATTTCGTTTAGTTTTAGGATATCTAATAAGTGTTTGGTATTTATCTTAAATTAACTGTATAGTGCGATTTTTTGATATAGTGGGAATTGAAGCTTTTTCCCAGATCACTTCGATTTCATTCGCAAGAATTTGAGAAATTTCTAAAATACTAGGGTCTTTACCGGAGGTCAAAACCTTAAGTTAATTTCGAATAAGCAAATATCGCTTCATAAGATTTTCCACAGTTGGCAAACCATTAGAGGGTATATTCGCTGGTGCACCAAATATAGGACAGCTCCCCTATTGCCCCTAGTGTCCTTTACTGACAAACTCATTACAACTTAATATAAAGATCTTACTTCCGCGACTATCCAAAGAAGACTGAGTTTAGCTTAGAGGTACACAATTCGCCATGCATAAACGATTATAAACTGGTCTTGACAGGACTAAACAAGTTTGAACAGTTTTGTGACATAATATTTAGGATTTTCTGGATTTGTTTATTAATGTAAAAGTTTGATAATATTAATAATAATAATAACAATAATAACGTCTTTGGGGGGGGGGGGTATCTCAGTGGTAGAACCTCTGTATGTGGATCCAAGGGTCCCAGGTTCGAATCCCACCGTCGGCCGGAATTTTTTCATTTAATTTAAATATTTAAAATTTATTCTGATGCCTTGGTAGGATTCCCCACTCGACCATTCACTCTTGGGTTCTAATTAACAGTGCTGTTCCTAAAGTGGCGCTGGGAAACAGTAACAACGCCTACACAGAACACAAGGCGAAATAACCTTAGCAGTTGAAGCCAATGACAAAAAAAAATTAAAAAAAATAACGTCTTTATTTCTTTAAATAAATTTACATTAAATTAAAAAAAAAAAGAAAAATAAATTTAACATAAGTAAAGGGCGAAGTTCAATTCAGCGGCTAAGCTTTAAACATAGTCACTGAATTGTTCTACCACTTAACTCTTAAGAAAATATCCCTATGACACGAAATTAAAAATAAAAATATATTTTTTTTTTCGATTTATGGCCTAGGTGTATATACCTAATATGCCAGTCTCAAGTTTGTGTTTAAATTGTCAATCATGTGTGTTCTGCGTAGGCTTTGTTACTGTTTCCCAGCACCACTTCAGGAACAGCACTGTTAATTAGCACCCAACAGTGAATGGTCGAGTGGGGAATCCTACCAAGGCATCAGAATTAATTTTAAATTTTAAAAATCCCGGCCAACGGTGGGATTCGAATCTGGGACCCTTGGGTCCACAGGCAGAGACTCTACCACTGAGCCACCCACCCCCAATAAAAATATTAAAAACACATAAATTAACAGAAGGGAAAATAAATCAACAAAACTAATAAAAAAGCAGCAAACCATTAAAATAAAAGAAACAATTATTAGCGAGTGTTCAGCACAAATGTCTTTTACTCTGAAGGAATTATAGCTAATAATTTTATACTTTTGTGGGATGACATTATAGACGAAACAAATTTGATATCTCAAACATCTTCTAAAATATTCGGTACGAAACATAGGTGGAGTAAGTGTTCCCTCATACCCAATATTAATATTAGACACATCCGTTCGAAATATTATTTTTCTGTGCAGATAAGATGGTCTTTTGTTTGAGGTTATTTTAAAATAAAGATTTGCAGAGTGAGAGAACCTTTTATTTTCCATATCAAGCCATCCTGCTTCTCTCAATTTATAGGGTATTCTTTTTCCATAAATTAATCTTAAACATGAATTTTGAATTTTTTGAATTTTGAATTAATAGTAGTTTGTTAAATTTGAACTATAAACTGTATCTGAATAATTAAATATAGATAACACAAGTGTCTCACAAAGAAGTAATTTATTTTTTTGTAAAACAAAATGTCTAACTCCATAGATCATTTTCAAAGAACAAGCTCGCCAAATTAGGTTATTCACATGTTTTTCAAATCTTAGATTCGGATCTAATATTACTTTCAAGCTTTTAGCTTCTTCGTTTATTTGAATAAGTTGATCATTCACTATGATACTAATATCTTCAGCAACTATATCTCTTTTTAGTTAAGGACCAAAAATCAGTACATTTGACTTAAATAAATTAGTAAAAAAGCAATGATCACTTGCTTCATTTATAAAACAGTTTAGATCATTATTGATAATTTTAGAAGCATTTTGCACCTTATTTGGATGAAAACTATAATATACTTGGGTATCATCAGCTTAAAAATGAGCCTTACAATTTTTTTTACTAAACTTGATGTATATATAGCAAATAGTGTAGGACCCAAAATTGATCCTTGAGGTACGCCGCATTTTATAGAGAGATTGTCTGAAAATTTACCGTTAATAGAAACTTTCTGGTTACGATTCGAAAAATATTTGCGAAATAACATAACTGCTGAAGGTGATAGGCCAATATGATGTAAAATACTTAGTAAAAGTTCATGATTTATACTATCAAAGGCCCAACTAAAATCTAACAAAACTAAAGCTGTACACTGACCCAAATAGACCCAAGATAGATAAAAGATAAGAGGACCCCTGACCTTAGTATCCTCGAATGATACACAAATGAACTCTTACACATTAGTGGAGGCTGGTATAGTTGATGCAAAAATAACAAGTAGTGAAAAACAACCGACAGTAGAAGAGAACAGTACTGTGACCTGTTTTTTTTTAAGTTATGTTTTAAATTTCTTATGATACTTATATTTTTTTTATGTTTGATCCATGCTGAATTTTGAAACATATCATGGTTTAGTTTTTATTGTAAAACCTTATTATGTTGTTACTTATGGTATGGCACACAGCCTTCATAGATTCCATAACTTCAATGCTGAAAAAATAATGAATAAACAAGACTAATTCAACAAAAAATTCTAGATAGAAAAAACAGGCTAGAATATACAGATAGATAAAAGATAAAAGGACCCCTGACCTTAGTATCCTCGAATGATACACAAATGAGCTCTTACAACACCAGCAATAGTTATTAAAGATTAGAAACACGTCAAATTAAAAGTATATTAGATCTAACATGTCAATCATCAAGAAAATGTTGCCAGAGATAAAGCTTCTATTAAAATAAAAAGTGACAAAACTAAAGAAATAGAAGCTCTTGGCATATCTGTTAAAACAAAAACATTTATACTCATTTCTCACCCTGATATAATCTCAAAAAAAAAATACTACAACAATTTCTTCTCAAGTCTTGGTGAAAAATGCATAATAATACCATATGAAGGGTACAGGGGAAAAAAGATGAATGTCCAAAAATTACAATTTTAAGCTAATGGCGGGAATATTGTGCTAAAATGATGTAAAAATCCGATAAAATATTGAAACCAATCAAAATAGATGAGAGTAGCAAGCCACAGCGAACCTAAATTTTACCGCACAGGGGAAAAAAGTTGAACGTCCCGGCGAACTGGGGAAAAAATATGAATGTCCATAAATATGACAAACGCGCATTGTTTTGTTTTTCTCTTGATGCTTTTTCCCATTTTATTACGCGCTATTATACTATTTCAGTAGTTCATAAACCGTTTAATCGACCACCTGCTGTATGCTTTTTTTTTCGCGTGCCACGTGCAATCGAAATATTTCGCAATGAGTGACGAAGACATTGAAGTTGATAGTGCAGTTTTTCCTCTAAGATCTAAGAAATGGTAATCTCATGGACGTATGAAGAACGTTGCTAAGTTATTAAAACTACGAAGCCATGTAACAGGCCCAAGTTTTAATTGTACTGGATTTAAGTGTTTTTAAAATGTCACCGAACGAGAGAGGTTGCAAATAATTAACAGTTTAATGAACTTAAAGATCATGAACAAAATTTGCCCCCGTTAAACGACACCGAAGTAGAAAGAATAATGAGAAAGATGTTGAATATCACTCATATTCGTACACATACAAAATTCGTGTTCAACGAGATAATACAGCTATAGAAGTGCCAATATGTTATAAAGTTATGCTTTCTATACATGGAATATCTGCGAAACAACTTCAGAATATCCAGCAGCAGTTCTTTTGGACATGTTAATCATGATGGGCGAGGTCAACATTCCAATCGAAATAATCGTCTCCCAGATAAAATATTCCCTGCCGTGTTTGACGATATTGCTTCGTTTAAAGGCCAAAAAGCATATTGCAGTCTCCTTGACTCCCAATGTGAATATTTACCGGAACATCTTAACGTGAAAAAGATGTTCAACATGTTTTTGCAACAAAATCCTGAGAAAAAGGTTTCCTACGAGACTTACAGAACTATATTTGTAACTAAATTCAATATAAGTTTTGGCTATTCAGGAACGGATACCTGCAGTGCCTGTGATGATCACAAGGCCAAGAAAATGAACATCGAAAATGATCATTTACAAAAAGCGCTTCTATCTCGTTTAGAAACAGAACATAAACTGCAACTTTTAAAAGCTAAAACGTTTTCCAAAAAAAAGAGAGCAGCCCGTTTAAATTCTCAAAAGAGTACAGAAAAAGAGGCAATAGCAATGGATTTTCAAAACAATTTGCCAGTGCCTAATATCAGCACTAAAGATGTATATTATAAACGCCAACTTTCTTTTTATTCCTTTAATATCCAATTGCTGTCTAACTCTACTTTACAATTTTATACATACACGGAAACTGCTGGAAAAACGGGCTTTACAATTTTATACATACACGGAAACTGCTGGAAAAACGGGCTCAGATGAAGCAGCATCTATGCTATTTAATTTTATTTTTAATTTGTTGGATAAGCGTGTCCAAGAGTTAGAAATTTTCTGCGATTCGTGTAGCAGCCAAAATAAGAATTATACCTTATTCTGTTTACTGCCTTTCTTTGTCCATAAGACAAAATGCTTAAGGAAAATCAAGATGACGTTTCCAGTTCGGGGACACAGCTATCTAGAATGCGACCGCAACATGGGCCTAATAAACCAAAAGGCAGCAGTAGAACTTCCGGGTGGACGGAATGGCTAAATTCTGAGTGCTAGAAGTAAACCCGGTCCTTTTTGTGTAATTAACTGTGAAGATCAAAATATTTTTCGTTCATGGACGAATCACTTTGCAAATTACTTCTATAAAAAGTGTCCATTTGAAAGCAGACCAATCAAGGAACTTACAGTACATACTGGCATGCCAAGAATGACAGAATATTGTAAATCACAAAACGGAGCTTGCACGACTTCTGTAGTGATACCGCCTAGAAAAGATTAAAAAAAATATTGGTTTGTTACCTCCTGGCCAATTTGAAGTACCTTCTTTAAAATACAAAGAGAAACTCCCTATATCTTTAAAAAAGTTTCAAGACGTACAAGAACTTAAAAGATTTTGTGAGCCTAATGCATGTAAGTACTTTAAAAACTTACCTTATTACCACACTACTAAAGATGAAGGCGCTTAATTTATGTTATTGGTTATAATTTACAATACTCAAGTTAACTTTTTGACGTTCGCTATATGTTTTTTTATTATATTATAACATTACCTAATATTTTAATTTATAAATTAATTTATAAATTAATTAATAAATTTAACCTTATGTGCCTTAATTTTAATAAAAGATACTTATTTTAAATTGAACAGGTTGAGTGGTATGTACACACTGGGTAATAAGAAATGAATCGAGAGTATTTAAAGTGTGTAAATTGAGTTTTATTAAAGGAATGAATAATTTTTATATAAAAAATATGTTTGTTACCTTCAATGTTTTGATGTTTAAAATTTAAAAAGTCCCACCATAACTTGATCTTGCTAGTTCACTTTTGACAATTTTTCACGAAATTCATTTTAATTTCTCAAGTTGGCAATTGTCTTGACAACTTCATTGTCAAATGTCAATTGTCACTCAGTTCTTTTGTGGAAACTGTCAAGATGGTCAGGTTCTCCAAAATTTCTTGTACTTACTACGATTTTTTTTGCCCCAACTTGCCTCCGCCTCACGGTAGCAACTTGAAAAATTCAGCTGGCTTCATGTTGAAGAACAGCAGTTTCTCTACCTTTGAATGATTGGGAGTGTACAGTATAACTTGTTGGGATAAACCCTCAGTTCATTTCTTAACATTTAACCACATTTTAGGAGTGGTTATTTTATTGTCTATTATTTAAGCTTCAAGGTATGGTAGAGACCAGGGACCGGTTTGTTGCTGTCCTTTTTAATTTAGTTAAATTTTCATGCTACTTCTACCGTTTTTGACTAGTAAGTGTTCAAGGTTTTTTATTCAATGTTTAGTAATATTACGAGTTGATTATATTGTTACAGCTCCGTTTTTTTTTTCTCTCTTTTGTAGAGTCTCTGATGATGGCCTAATAGGCTGAAAGTGCTTAGACTAATTTTAACACAGAGTTTTATTAATAAAACTTAATTTACACACTTTAAATACTCTTGATTCATTTCTTATTTTAAATTATTTGTTTTTTGCACTACTACATCTAAAACACCCTATATATTTTTTGTATGAGAATTTGTTTACTATTTTCGTTGGTACTACTTTTATATAACCAAAATTAAAGTTGTAGGCTCTTTCGTTTTAATAAATAATGCAATTACTAGCACATACTTTATGATAAATTACTCCATTTCCTCACTCGAACCTTCGTCGTATAACTCCAAATATTTTTTCCAGCTACAAAAATAAACCTGTGCACTCAATAATTGGTAATAAAGTAATATATACTACCAGGTATTGAGAAAAAAATATTTGAGCCAAATACATTTTCATACAAGTATTGTAGAAGTCTTCAAATTTCAAAATCCTACTTTATCAGAAACTCATTTTTGTGACATTAATCTTTTTTCCCATGTATCCTTCATATTTAATTCAAAAAATGTCTGCTAAGGCTAAAGCCTCACAACAACAGCAGGAAAAGGCCTGCACCAAACTGTCAAAGACCTCAAACGTAGGTGGCAATCCACATGCAACCTACATATTGGCCAAGTGATATAAACGCAATACTTGACCTCCCAGACTTTTATTTCTAGTAATATTGCAGCAAACTTTATAATACTTTTAACAGTAAATGCAAATATTGTTACTCGAGAGCTCAATTGCACACTGACGAACAGACATACACATAGAGTTATTTCAGTTTGAACTTGGTGTAAAACAATTGAACTAAATGCTCCAATTAAAGATTTGGCTACAGAAGCAAAATTATTTACGGTTACTATCCAACGAGATAAATGAAATAATACACCATTAATACAAAAAAAAAACCATGAGTATTAATTACCGCCAAAGAAATAAGGGAGTATATACAAAACAAAAGAAAGGCTCAAAATAAATGGCAAAAAGGAGAAACGAAGAAAACAGAAACAAAGCATATATATTAACACAGCAGCTATGAAGATAGAAAAAACTCAAAAAATGAATAAGAAACTACATGAGAGCTTACAACTAATTAATTTATTGATTTGGGTAACTTAACTAATTCTGCAGCTCCTTGTTTCATCACATCTTTCCTTGAATTTTACAAGAAATTGCCCTTATTATTTTTGTCACGATCAACGTTAATGAAACAAAGGAAGAGTCAGACGAAAACAAATGTTTGCGATATCTCTTTTATACCTATTTGATAGGATGCAGGTAAACATGTCAGTGTGATGAATACATAGGAATAAAGGAGTACACATCAGATACTTATTAATGAGGTATCACTCTGTGTGGTGTGACAGACAAATGGATTCATTCGAATATCAAATTTGAATCTACAATTTCTGGAGACAAATAGTCGAGCACGAATAGAGTCGGGAAGTTTGGAAAGCTAATACTGCAATTAGGTAAAGCAAATTCAATTAAATTGCTACGGAAACTTGCACTAGCTGATGTCAATACATCTGGTCTAATTAAACAATCGGCAATGTCAGCCGCTCACATCGGTATACGACACATTTTCTGGTAATATACGCCTCAAAATCTATAAGATGCCGTTAAAAAAAACACGTTAAAATGTTTAACTGTTTTGCCCAAAAATCTTTTTTTCTAGTAATTTTCTTTGATCGGCATCTATTTCGCATGACCTGCACGAATTATTTTCATCGTACTTATATGACAGGTGGCAATATGTTAAAGTAAAATCTTCTAAAACCAATTATTTTCCACAATACTCTGGAGTTCTAGAAGGTTCAATTTTTGGACCGCTATTTTTATTATTTTTATTAATGACATAGGTCAGCATCTAGACACTAAATTTCTAATCTACGCGGATGATTGTTATTTAAAAATATAAATAATCTAAATGACTACTTAGTATTACAAAACAACGTTGAGCTGATTCAAAACTGGTGTAATTCTAACTGTAGAGAATTAAACGCGCAAAAATGTAACGCGATGACATTCACACGTAAAAAAATTGGAATCCACTATGACTACGTAATTGGTTCTACGCGTTTAAACAGACCAAATCATACTAAGGACTGGGAAGTTACTTTCGACCCGAAATTAAGTTTTGTTCCACACATTAACGATGTAGTTGTTTCTGCTTTTCGAATTGTTGGATTGATTCTCAGAAATATGAGTAATTTCAGAAGTATATAGACACATGCAAAATGTTTTATTTAAACTGGAATACGCAAGCGCCGTGTGGTCTTCAATGTATGATGTTCATATTGCAAACCTAGAAAAGGTACAGAGACGATTCTTGAAAAGTCTCCATTTTCAAATTTACGATTATTACCTCCTTCGCGATTTCCACAGGATCAGTTGCTTCATAATTTTAATTGTGTAAATCTTTAAGATCGTCAAGTAATGCATTCTATATCATTTTTATTTAAACCCATGAACTACAAAATTAATTGTGCCGAACTTTTATCGCAAATACGTTTACGTGTTCCTCGTATTACCTCGAGAGATCGCCAAACTTTTCATTGCTTATACCGCGAACAAACATTTTATTACAATCATCACTTTATCAAATGCAAACCAATTTTAATGCTCACTCTCAAAACATTGATATTTTCAATTGTAGAGAATGTGATATAAAAATATTTGTTTAGGTTTAGGTAATACCTAGTGTACGTCTTATTTTACTTTAATTTTTATATTTAATGTGTCTAGTTTTAGTTTTACTTAGATGTATTATTGTCCAAATTTGTTTTTTTTTGTAAATTTAATGTTTACGTTTTGATGTATTTAATGTATGTATGTATGACATTTTATTTTATATTAATTTTATTTTTAATATGTATTCCACCTGTAATAGGTTTGTACCGTTGGTTGGATAATAAATAAATAAATATGTACGCTATTTTTAAAGTTAGTGATTCGGAATCTACTCACTAAGACCTATGAAACAGTATTATTTATTTATTTATTTATTTTATTTATTTAACAGAAAACAAACAGGTTTTATAACCTCATTACATGTTCTCCTAAGAAAAATGAAACTACAACTAAATGCATTTACCAACGCTCCCAATAAAGTTAATATAAAAGAGGAAAGAAATAAAAAATATATAAGTACGAGTATAAGTACAAAAAAATAATTTACGAAAACTTATAACTACTTGCATCTACCAATGCTCCATTAGAATTAACAATAGTATATTAATAAGAATGTTAAAATAAAAAATATTCATTGAATTAATCAAAATCTTGAAAATCTTAAAATAATCAATATAAATTAGGTAGGCATGTTTCACAATGAATCTTTTTTTTTATATATATATAATATTTAAATCTCAATGTAAATTCTAATTTTAACAGGTGGGATT